CGTTATCATATGTACAAGGGCCAACTCAAACCCGCAAGGTGGTTCGGACACAGATCGCATGCCAACTAGAAGTAAGCAAACCAGCCCTTTTGGCGTTTCTGCTGGGGCCGTATGCTGAATGTTGGGGAGGGGATGGGGTCCCCGACGGTCGACGGACTACTTCAACTCGGTCCTTAAACCGCCTCAATTTGATGCTTACCTCAGGACTAAGCCTTAAAGAGAGGCTCTCCAAGGCTTAGTCCTGGGGTAAGCAAACCAGCCCTTTTGGCGGAGCTGCTGGACCAGCTGCACCACTTGCGTCATCACTCTCCTACCGTACCGACCGAGTTGAAGTAGTCCGTCGACCTCGGGGACCCCATCCCCTCCCCAACATTCAGCATACGGCCCCAGCAGAAACGCCAAAAGGGCTGGTTTGCTTACCTCTATCAATTCCACAAGTTGAACCAGCTGCGCTACGAAGAGACGCTGCAATAACCTTAATCACTGAACCTCTTGCCTTTTGAGTGCCACTTTTCGAAAAGACTAGTAGTTTCCTGATGGAGAAATGTTCCGAATTCCAACATGGCTGAAAATACCTCTGTCGAGACCATCATTTTCAGAGTGTCAACACATCAAGCAACTGGATAGATTAGATTCACATCTTAAACTCATAGGAGTGAAGATTGCAATAACTTATTCTCACCGAAACATTTTGTTGAAGCTGAAATATGTGCATCCATTCGGTTGGAAACCCGAAAATTGACAAAATTTCTTATGTGACCTAATAGAAGTAGCACATTCTGTGGCTTCATTATTTCCTATCAAATAACTCAAAAAGCCAGCGTGCAAGCAATTTCATTCCAAAGAGTGGAATCATGGCTACCGTAGACATACATTTATTTTTTCGGTCGTAACTACGCCTGCATAATCAATTATTTTTGCGGTACTGCAATGAAGACCTTTACGTGGCGCATCCTATACAATCCAGAGTCACTTAACAAAAACATTCTATTGAAAGAAAACACGACTCGCACTCCTAGAAGTTATTTCATAGGGGCACGTGCTGCTATGAAGAGAAGAGCTCCGGTTGTAATAAAGACCAGCTGGTCAGTCCCAGCATTGTTCCATTATTGATCAGTATGTGCCCCAACACTTCAGCTTATTCAATGTTTTTTCCTTGTAATTCTGATTCTAAAACTCCAAGCGATCAAATTTATGTCTAAATTTTCGGCATTGTCGAGGTCGGGTTCTCACCAATAACTCCCCATGCAGGTGCGGGAGCGCGGTTTCTCGTGATTTTCTTCCCAATACTAAATTCTTGTGATCTATTGTTACTCATTTTGCTGTTGATAATTGTTAGCTCCATTGAAGGGTGACAGGGGTTCCAGTTCCAAGTCTCAGAAGTGAGGACATTCTAAACCTCTTTATAAAATGTGTCCGTTTCCGCTTCGATTCTGAATCGGCAAAAGCGATTGAATGGAGTATTATATTCTTACATTCATTCTTTTTTTGTGGTCTAGAAAAGATGGAAGTAAGATTCAACTGCTGGTGTTCAATTCATGGTTGTTATTGCTCCACAGTGATCTGATGGTATCAGTTGGCTAGGAGGAATGGAAGGGAAACGTAACCTGGACAAAATCTACATAGCCACCTATCGTTCACGTGCAATTCCGTCCGTATGGCCACTGTTTTCACCCTCTACACAAATTCTATGCAAATTGAACATAACGGTGTCGCCTTATGTTTCATAGAAGCAATCACTATTCCTATCCCTCACCATTCTACCTCACTATTTTACAAGCGAGAACTTTTTGTTCAGAGATGCCGCCGCCGGCGTACATGCGTTCCGGTTCCGAGACATCGTTTCCGTCGGCCAGTGATAGTCGGCAGGATTCCATACATGTGACAGGATTGAGGGAGAAACGTCTCTACGCAGTCATCGGATGTCTCGCCATATTAACAATTCTGGCACTTTCACTTTTGACGGTAACAGATTATGAGATTTTTTTACAGTGGGTTATTTAGAAATCACTAACTCATTTTTTCGGCTGAATATGCTTATGCTGCTCCTCATAGGCTAGCATAGAAGAGAAACTCTCTTCTATGAAATTTCATGTTTTCTTAGGTTATCTTTTTCTTATTGCCTCTCTTTTTCTCTTTTCTTTTTCTTTCTTCTCATTCATTCGAAATGTATATTTTTCTTCGGCTCAGGCTGCCTCGAAAAATAGTGTATTTGTGATGCATATGTGTTTAACGCATTGCGTACTATTCCCCGGCAGTACCTGAATGGTACGATTTTGGGGGAAGGCAAAACAATTTTGCAGCAAAAAAGATCCAGCAATCGTCATTGATGTCCTGATCAACAAAATGTCATTGGTTTTCGGCCCTGGCACTGAAATATCCAGCTGTAGTCTTCGGAGAAGAAGGAAAAGAATTTTGTGGCACTGGCACCAATAACGATTGTATTCGTGCTGAATTGGTCCATAGACAGCTCTGGATTTTAGAAAAAAGTTGATAACTACATCAAAAGCCTCTCCCAAAGAACTTGTATTCGTGCGCAGGACTAAAAATGAGCTTGTAAATGAAATTACACATTGAATACTTTTTCCTCCAATCTGCCTCATTTTGCCAAACACTCGCTATTTTTGAATTTAACTGGAGGGAAGCCAGCTTTAAGACAACTCCTACGTTGCCAATACTGAATATTTCTTTCCCTTACGACGTTTTTTTCCCAATTTTTCACAAACAAATTCCCAATTTTCATGTTTCAGGTTAATATCATGATAATTTCGTCTCTACAAATGACTCATCATGGCATGCGGTTCCTACGATTTCACACAATCCATGATCCTCATACGGGCACAACAGAAAAGGTAAAGCGCTGTTTCCTAGACGTTCTTTTTTCGGAGTTAAATTTATTTATTCAGCCTTATAATATAGTGATTTTTGACCCCTCCTCCTAAATGCTCGTTTTATATTTAAGTAATGGAAATTATCTCGGGTTTCTAGAAAACCCGTCTATCGCAACTGGTAGAATCAGAACCGCCTCTATAAAAAACCTATACAAACAAGTAGCCAGATCATCCGAATAGTTTCCGTTTTAGACAATTTTTTTTAGTTTTGTAGTCGTTGCAAAATCATAGGACACCCCTCGGAAGTCTCCTTACAGTTGAATTTTTTATCCATCCAGCAACGATGGTAGCACTTGTCCGGTGTATGGTAATTCTATTAGAGTTACGGTTTGAGTTGCTCCCTTTCCCTCCGCGAGTGAAAGCCAGACTTTCTTTTTATACGCGCCTGATGGCTCTACCATGAGCATCGAAGCCATTTTTAGGAGCTCAAAGAAAACCATAGCTTGGTGCTCCAAATTCTCACTACGAATAGAAATAAGAGTGCACCAGGATAAATAGCAGAAGTTCTCTAAAAGGATTAGCTATAACCTCGAAGATTACATCAAACAAAATCACCATGTACGGTCAACCTGTGTCAGCTCTACGAAAGAAAGAGGATAGAAATGAAATCCTATAGCAAAATCACTGATATGGACAACTAGCGTAGGGTCCTGCGAAGCGTGCTGCCATGCTCGTTAGGCGTTCTGACTGAAACCAGAGAAGAGAAACTTCAGGTCTGGAACTCAGGATGAGGTTACGCATCACCACATCTTTAGGAAACGATCACGAAAATTTTGTTGAAGGAATAAGTCGAATCCTGGCCCATATTTCTTTACAAGTGAACAGCAGTCATCTGAACCATCAAAGTTAAACTGCTCATTACCGAAGAAGCGCGGTCTGAAAGGAACAAATTACTTATTATTTTGAATGAGAAAAATTGCTCAACAAAGCCAGCTTCGGCCCAGTCTTTCGTTAGATTTCTCTTCTCTGGTTTCAATCAGAACGCCTAACGAGCATGGCAGCACGCTTCGCAGGACCCTACGCTAGTTGTCCATATCAGTGATTTTGCTATAGGATTTCATTTCTATCCTCTTTCTTTCGTAGAGCTGACACAGGTTGACCGTACATGGTGATTTTGTTTGATGTAATCTTCGAGGTTATAGCTAATCCTTTTAGAGAACTTCTGCTATTTATCCTGATGCACACTCTTTTCTATTCGTAGTGAGAATTTGGAGCACCAAGCTATGGTTTTCTTTGAGCTCCTAAAAATGGCTTCGATGCTCATGGTAGAGCCATCAGGCGCGTATAAAAGAAAGTCTGGCTTTCACTCGCGGAGGGAAAGGGAGCAACTCAAACCGTAACTCTAATAGAATTACCATACACCGGACAAGTGCTACCATCGTTGCTGGATGGATAAAAAAATTCAACTGTAAGGAGACTTCCGAGGGGTGTCCTGATGATTTTGCAACGACTACAAAACTAAAAAAAATGTCTCTAAAAATACGGAAAACTATTCGGATGATCTGGCTACTTGTTTGTATAGGTTTTTATAGAGGCGGTTCTGATTCTACCAGTTGCGATAGACGGCTTTTTCTAGAAGCCGAGATATTCATATTTTTGGGGGTGTCCTATGATTTTGCAACGCACTGTAATGATGGACTGCAATTCTTTCCGATCGTCTATGCACAAAATTTTCCAAAAATGACATTCTCTTTTTTCCTCTGGAGAATATTTTCTTATAGTTATGCATACGGCGTAAATTAATCAGGTAAGACAACGATAAAAAAGCAGAATTTCCAACCAGAACGTGGCATTTTTAAGGCACCCATATAACAGTGCCCTAGGCAAGCGGATGGGATGTGGCTTTCAGAAAAGTACCCTAAACATTCACACAGTGTTCAGTTCTGTTTTGTTCAGGTAGTGGAATTCGATGGCAACCAAATCGATCTGGGGACAGTCGTCACTAATGGCCAGGTGTCTGGCTACAGTGATAAAGAACTGAACATATATGGATCCAGAGTTCGTATGTTGTCTATTTATTAGGCGGTAAACTTAATTTGAATCGTTTTTTTTTGTCAAAAGAAGCTTTATTCCGAAGAATTGGTTCTAGTCTCATTAAGAATGTTCTCCACTATTTCCCATACCTTATCCTACTTTTCCTACACTGGCGATACTGACACAACAGCATACGACTAGATTTGAAATTGACGATAAATCGATCTTTTTTGGCATGCTTTACCTTTCCATAATCATGTGCCAGAATGACCGCTCGACTCCCTGAAGTGGTATCCATGAGACGCTATGTCCGGTCATTACGTTAATTGAAGGGGTTTTTTTCACCAAAGCTCTAAATATTGTAAGGGTTGGAATTTTGCAGTGGGGGTCATCGGAAAGCATTTTCCTTTGTTAGATTTTTCCCCTTGATCTTAACTTTTCGATCTAAGACATAAGAAGAGAAAAACTTAGAATCAGTCAAATCAAGTGAAAGACCGGAACCAGCTAGAAACTCATACTATGCACTTTTTCAGTTGCTTATATCAGGAGCCGAAAACGGGACCCGTCTCACAATACAAGACAGCCGCTGTCGACTAGAGAACACGGAACATTTCCAGGTCATTTAGAACTCCTTGAGATTAATTCATTCGAAAAAGTTCCAAAACTCCGCGGTTCCTAATAAGTAAGACACGAACAAAATATTAGGTCGGTCAAAAAGTATTCGCCGTCTGTAACGCCTAACTTTGAAGCATCACAACTCTGCTGAAACACAACCTTTTGAGTTGACTCAAAAACCATTATATTCATCATCATGTTGCTGCCAATCATATCCACGCCGATCTGTTCCCTTCTGACAAAAATTTAAATCACTGTAGAGCAAAAGCTATCGGATGGAATTTCGACATACTCCTGCTCTCACGATCAGAGCAATTTCTCCTCCAAGAACTACGTTGATAAGCCGAAAATTGGTGGTTTATCAAAGATATACCTGGAAGGAAGGATTTCAGAACA